TTCTTCAGGCCCCAGTTGTTCAAAGGCTGGATGACGCTATCCACCTGATAAATCTCTCTCCAGTGGACTAGTGTCAACATGACAGATCACGCTATCCACTGGATAGTGACTTACCCGGTGGATAGCGGTATCCACCCTTTGAATAACTGGGGCCAGGTAAATGAGCCCCGCGTCATTTGTATTCAGTCTTGTCACGACAAGTGGTTGAAAATGGCGTTGGCGTCTGATGTGAATGGCCTCCTCGGTTTGTCTTTTGATGTCCACGTCCCTCTTTTAAAGATGTTTACCTCCTCCCAGCCGATCCCGACCTTGAACTAATGTTCCCAGATTGCAGATATGCGAGGTTTTTAAGATTCTCCTGAGAAATTACCCTCCTTCTAGAATAACTAGCGACCAGACATTTCTGTTTCGCTCTTACCCATATATACTAGTAAACATTAATAGTTCTTAGTCTCCAGCCTCTTTTCCAATCTCGCACAAAAGTAGGTCTGCAAAGCGTACAGTGCCTGCCGGCTTGACAGTTGAGTATTGTCTGCGGGTTTTTAGAAGGAGCTATCCATGTGCCTACGTATAACCACTGTGTGGATGGCGATAGATTGTTCGCACATTCTCATCCCCCGAGATACGCCGTGGTCACTTACCTTCGTTGGGTCGTGAAGTAACAATTTTCCCGATTACGAAAGCGACGGTGAATAGGTGTCGGACGTAGTTCCCAATATCGCACGCGTCTGGCTCAAGACACGATTACAAGCCGTTATTCGGAAAAGGAGCCCACGCTACAGAACTCGAGACGGCTGCGGCAATCACCTGTCACTTGCAGGTTGCTCAGGGTCTGGGGATGAGTCTGATCAGTATATCCTGTTTTAGTGTAAGTCTACTCGCATTCTATTAAGAATGCCGTTCTCTTATTGGCTTCGCTACTCGCTATCTATTCTGTTGTACATAGTGAGCAGCCTAGCGGTGCATGTGTGCGGTTAACAAAATGGCGGCCGCTTCTTTGCGTTTTCAAAGCGTCTGATTTAGACAAAGTTTTGAGAAACCAGCAGATCTATACTAAACAATAGGCCATTTTACAAATGTGTGCTCAGTTACCTGGCCTTTGAATGCAAGCGAGGCTGGAGGTGACCTTGCTTTGATACAGACCTCTCTGCTTTTCTCATTCAAATGCCAACTAGTTAGCATGAGAACAACTTGATTTACACAACAAAGGTGGTGAGGTCTGTATCAAAACAAGGTCACCTTCAGCCTCGCTGCCATTCAAAGGCTAGGTCACTGAGCAAACAACTGTAAAATGGTCTATTAGATTATTCGTTCTTAATTTCTACGCGTGAAAGAAATCTCGAGCTCATAATCTAATCCTTAATTAAAAAAAAAACCAAACGAAAAGTGAACAGACGACTCAGGTTTAAAAGTTAAAACGAAATTGTAGATCCTTATTTAATTGATAAAACTATTTTTTATGGTAACACAAATTATTGTGATTATTTGTCAATGTAAAATAACCAAACTATAAAAACTACAAGGGTCTATGCTTTCGAAGGCTGTCAAGAGTTTCTTTAGGACTAGTGTTTATAAATTTTGTACAACTCTCGTTGTTAGGATAAAGATGTTGCAGATCAAATACGATTGTTCAACGTTGGCCATAGTCCTACAACGACAACGAGCCGTGTGACAATTTCAAAGGAGTAAGACAAAACGGCCACTCAACAACCACTGAGTGCTTTGATATACAATGGAATCCCGATTTTTCGAACCTCCAAGGGAAACGAAAATTGCCTTGAAATACCGGGTAGTTCGAGAAATCGAAGGTAAAGTTACAGTGTTCGACTGAACGAAGGGAAACGGGTTTTTGCTCGAGTTATCGGGAGGTTCGAACAATGGAGGGTTCGAGAAATCGAGATTCCACTGTAACGTAGCATAAGTAGAGCTCAACACCACTAAAAGACTACAATGATTGCAAAAACAATCATATCTCTCAGGCTTATCTTGTTCATCAGGTATACCCGTTTTCACAAACAACATAAACTTTTATAAAAATGTATTCTTGTAAGCTCCGGTTGCTTCCCAGAAGGGATACAACTGTGTCAAGGGAGGCGCGCCTTAACAAAATTAAGCCTAAACAAAAAGGACATCCCCGAAAAACTTAAGCTTATGAAGCTGGCGAAAACCGGCTGAGTAAGTGTTTGTACAGGTACGGCATTAAATTTAAGACTGTTTTCTTTTGTTTTCGCAAAAATATACCCACGA